AGGCTGGGCACCACACGTCCATGTGGAGGGTCTGCAGGGGAGCAGTCATCGAGGGAAACGAGGAGGAGTGAGGAGCGGCGCACTGCCGACCCTCGATGCAAGGAAGACAGGGCGGGGCAGGCGAGGGCGGTAAGGGAGGCAGAGACCTGGGGAGACCAGAGACAAGGAGGCGGGAGTGCATGCCACGAAGGCGTGGCAGGGAGGGGTGACCCAGGCGGTGGTGCCAAAGAAGAGTCTGGTGCGACAGAAGGCGACACGAGCAAGAGGCGGCTACCTGACCTGACGCGGACACCTGAGCAGACTCAGCGACCTGAGGAGGCTCAGTAGCCAGTGTGTACAGACTCGACCCTGGCCGACGAGTGAACGTAGCCAGGTGACGCCCCGTCCGTGTGCACGTGCAGATTGACACACGCTGACCCCCAGGAGTGGTGGTAGTGACCATCGCATTCTGAAGGCAGCGGTACTCACCAAGTTTGTAGAGAACGAGGGGAGGTGAAGACCTGACAGTGAGCCGGACGGAACCGCCGGACACGGGAGGACAGTGGAGGAACTGGCAACGACTAGGCCCCCAGAGGGGTCAGCCAGTCTGACCGGAACAGGTGCAGGAAGAGGAGTGGGAGTGGTGCTGTCACGAAAGAAACAGCGCGAGGCGCCGGAGTCCAACGTGAAGGTGTGCAGGGCCTCAGCAGGCGCAGTACCAGGGGGAGTACCAGACGCACTAGCACCTAGAGCAGCTGCGGCTATACCTGGGTCAGGCGGCACACACCAGTAACAGTCACCCTCAGCACTAAAAGACAAAGCATACATGGCAGAGATAATAACATCAAAGTCTAGGTCAAAGATAGCAACTCCCGACCTAAGCAACTCCGCCCAGCAAGGGCACTCGACGTCATCACCAAACTCAGTACGCCAGGCGTCGTCAAGGCGGGCAAAGCAGCGGCGCTCAGTGTGAAACCTACCGCATGTCCGGCCCGCACTGGCACCCGTGCGAATGACATACGGGCAGGTCTCACTACCCTCACCCGCCCCACGCTGAACCAACCACTCACGGAGCTGCTGGGGCGTCTGAGTCTTGCTCCGACGCTGCTCCTGCTGGCCCCGACCACCACCAGGGCCTCCACGCTGAGGTCCAGACCGACCACCACTGGTCCCACCGCCTCCACTGCCGCCACTCCCTCTGCTGCCTCCACCGCCGCCACCAGAGCCTCCACCGCCGCCACCGGTCCCACCGCCGCCACCACCTCCACCGCCTCCGCCTCCTCTACCGCTGCCCCCACTACCACTCCCATTGCCACCTCCACCACCACCGCTGCCTCCTCCACTACCCCGACCACCCTTGCCCTTGCTGTTGCGGCGCTTCGTACTAGTCGAAGCAGCACCGACGTCCTTAGGAACAGAGACGTCTGCAGCAGCAGCAGAGGCGAAGGAGGAGGAAAGGGGGGAGGGGGAGCACCCCTCAAAGAAGGGTGAGCGCGGAGTGCCACGAGCAGCACCTACAGCAACTGCACTAGTCTCAGCTGCGAGGAGATGCTGCTCGAGGAGGTCAACAGTGAGGGAGGTGGGGTCGAGGGTGAGGAAGTGGTCCCTGACAGAGCGAAGGGAGTCAGGGAGGCGAGTGACTATGAAGTAGAGGGTGATGAACATGGGGGGCTGGTTCGTGGGAAGGAACTCAGCAGGGACGGCAGCGCGGTAGCGAGCGTCGCTAGTGCGCAGGTGGGTAACCAAGTCGGCTACTGTGGCAAAAGCCGACAGCTCAGGGAACAGGTAGGGCAGTAGCAGCCTGCCAATAGCAGTAGTGGCAGGGGAGGAGTAGCGAGCAACGACAGCGGCGTACAAGGCCTGTGCTGTCCTGTGCTCGCCAAAGTGAGCACACTCGGTCGCGGGCAGGTGGTTGCGAATGGCCAAGCGGGTAGTAGCGTCATGAGACAGCCACTGGGAACGAGTCGAAACGTCAGCTGTGGCGGGAGGGGCTGGAGCGGCAGCGGACACGTGGTCAAACAGTGAGACACTGTCCCGACTATCGCTCAGTAGGTACAGCTGCAGATCGTCGTGCCACGTGTCAAACGCTACAGGTCTGCCCTCCGGGTCGAACGGGAGAACACGAAGCGACGCCATAGTGGCACAGGACTCAGGAGCAGCAGTAGCAGTGGCTGAGGAGCGGAGCCGAGGGGCCTAGGGGCCGAGGGGCCAAACAAGAGGGCCGAGGGGCCTAGTAGCCTAGGGGGGGGCCGAGAGGCCTAGGGGGCCGAGGGGCCAAACAAGAGGGCCGAGTGGTGGGGCCGAGGGGCCAAACAAGGGGCCGGGGGGCCTAGGGGGCCGAGGGGCCTAGGGGGCCGAGGGGCCAAACACACGGGGCCGAGGGGCGGGGCCGAGGGGCCAAACAGGGGGCTGGGCGCAGGGCTCTGAGGTGGGGCCGAGGGGCCTAGGGGCCGCGGGGCCAAACAAGGGGCCGGGGGGCCTAGGGGGGGCCGAGGGGCCAATCACACGGGGCCGAGGGGCGGGGCCGAGGGGCCAAACAGGGGGCCGGGCGCAGGGCTCTGAGGTGGGGCCGAGGGGCCTAGGGGCCGCGGGGCCAAACAAGGGGCCAGGGGGCCTAGGGGGGGGCCGAGGGGCCAATCACACGGGGCCGAGGGGCGGGGCCGAGGGGCCAAACAGGGGGCCGCGCGCAGGGCTCTGAGGTGGGGCCGAGGGGCCTAGGGGCCGCGGGGCCAAACAAGGGGCCGGGGGGCCTAGGGGGGGGGGCCGAGGGGCCAATCACACGGGCCAGAGGGGCGGGGCTCTGAGGTGGGGCCGAGGGGCCTAGGGGCCGCGGGGCCAAACAAGGGGCCGGGGGGCTTAGGGGGGGGGGGCCGAGGGGCCAATCACACGGGGCCAAGGGGCCAAACAAGGGGCCGGGCGTGGGTGTTGACGGGCCGGGGCTAGGTACGGGGCCGGGCGCTGGGCGAGGGAATGAGCCGGGCGCGAGCGTCGACTGGCGCGGGCTAGGGAAGAGGGGTCGGGCGCGGAGCTCGGTACGGGGCCGGGCGCTGGGCTAGGAACGGGGCCTAGCGCGGGCTAGGTACGGGGCCGGGCTCGGGTGTCGACGGGGTGCTGGCTAGGTACGGGGCCGGGCACGGGTGTCGACAGGGCGCGGGCTAGGTAAGGGGCCGGGTCGCGGGCTAGGTACGGGCTGGTCGCGAACGTCGACGGGGCACGGGCTAGGAACGGGGCCGGGCGCGGGTGTCGTCGGGGCGATCGCGAGCTAGGTACGGGGCCGGGTCGCGGGCTAGGTACGGGCCGGTCGCGGGCGTCGACGGGGCGCGGGCTAGGTACGGGGCCGGGCGCGGGTGTCGACGGGGCGATCGCGGGCTAGGGGCACGGGCGTGAGACAGGGCCGAGCGCGGGCTAGGTACGGGCCTATCGCGGGCTAGGTACGGGCCAGGCGCGGGCAGGAGACTGGGCCGGGCGCAGGCTAGGTACGGGCCTATCGCGGGCGCGGTACGGGCGGGGCGCGGGGCTAGGAACGACGTAGTAGGTAGTGGGCCCAAGAGTAACCTGCTCTGATACCATGTTAGATAGTAGCGAGAATGACGAGAATGGTTTACTAGGAAGGAAGGAGGGGTACAAGTACAATGTCGAGAGAAATTGTGTACCCCCTAAGGCTAAACCCACTATAGCCTAGACAATTGTAAACACATAAACACATATGTTTGACACTCTCCTTGTGTGTAGCCATGACTTGTGTTGTAAAAAGTTGAAAAGTGATCTTGTCTTGCCTTGCTCTCATACCATGTTGGGCTGAGAAAAGCCCTTAGGAACTTTCAGGACTAAGATCAGGTGTTGACGTAGAGATGTAATAGCGGAAGCGTTTAATGAAGAATTGCTTGAACCACCTTGTGTTAGTGTGTGAGAACAAGATAAGTTGATAATAACAAAGACATACAAGCTCTTTATATGATTACAAAGGAATATGGAAAGTTCTATTTTAACTGTTTTTGCTGTTGCGGTTCGATACAGTGCCGACTCGGGTAACTGCTCTGTAGCGAGTCAGTTATGTGTCCGTGCTGTCGCACTGTTCGTTTCGTCAAGTCAAAGGTCGGAGACCTTTGACCTTCGCGTAACCTCCGATGGTTGCCTTGGTTGAATCGAGTGCTTCTTCGCTGTAGTCAGCTCCGTTTCGTGTCGAAGCTTCGATACGACATAAGCGTTTTAAATCACTTGTTTCCAACAAGGCATATTGTTGGGTCTTCATTAAATTTCATACAAAAGACTGGGTGTCCCCTTCAGTGGCAGCGTTTCTAACCTCCTACACCTACCGTCTATTCCCGGATATTGGACCCTCCGGAATAAATTTCCCATAGGACTTATATGCGGGGGGGTGTACGCATTGTACATTTTAAGACCCCCCTTTTGATATTAAACGTTTTAAGACCCCTCTCGTCACCGTAGACTGTGCAGTTTTCAGTGGTTTTCCACATTCGGGAATCCGTTTTTATGTGGGTAAAGAGAAATTCTGACGTGGTCAATGCGTCAGACTCGAAATCTGATGCATTGACCGTGTCAGATCCAAAGTTTGACTGGGAACTTTCGAGATTACTTTCTAGTTAGGCTCGATTTCGGTAAAAAGAATCTACTGTATAGAGAAAAAACGATCCCTTATGATTAAAATAGATGTCTGAGGGTCTTATCAATTTCCAGCCTCCATGATGTTCACCGTAACATTTTTTTTAATTAAAATTTGGAAGTTTCCCGGGACTTATATCCGGGAATAGACGGTACCATATATTAGTTGATGTGACACGTTTCGCTCGAATGTATTACCTGCGAAAAGTTGCAGAACCAGCTTTGCACTACATTCTTTGCAAAACCAGTTGCAGAACCCCCGTCATATAATAATTTTACCCACACCCTACACTCTCGTCATACGGTACCACCCACTATTCGCGGTACGAATGCATGTCCACATACCGAATCAAATCCCTCCGTCCATGGAATTTCATAAAGAAAAAATGATATTCCGGCTAGGAACAAGCTTGACACGACTTTCTACAGTACCCAAACGACTCTGCATTTCCAATCATATAATCCTTGTACCCCTTGCACTCCCCTCGCGCCGCCCAAACCTTGCAGAACGGATGCTCGTCCACGCACCCAATCAAATCCCGCCGCGCAGTGTACTTCTGGATGGCGATGGATTTTTCCGCCGTCCACTTGGGTGCGCCCTCGAGAACCGGGCAGTTACGGCGGGCGGCAGACGGGTCGTGGTAACCAGACGAGGTTACTTTGAAGAAGAGCAGTGCGTCTCCTTTGACTGGTGGGACTGAGGGGAATGGCATGTGTAGGAATCAAGGGAGGCAGGAAGGTTGGTAGGAACAGGAGGTTGGTAGGACAGGAGAAGGGTTGTGGTAACCAGACGGGGTTACTTGGAAGAAGAGCAGAGCGTCTCCTTTGACTCGTGGGACTGAGGGGAATGACATGTGTAGGAATCAAGGGAGGCAGGGGGGTTGGTAGGAAAGGGCAGCAGAAAGGTTGTGGTAACCAGACGGGGTTACTTGGAAGAAGAGCAGAGTGTCTCCTTTGACCCGTGGGACTGAGGGGAATGGTATGTGCAGGAATCAAGGGAGGCAGGGGGGGTTGGTAGGAACAGGAGGTTGGTAGGGCAGGAGAAGGGTTGTGGTAACCAGATGGGGTTACTTGGAAGAAGAGCAGAGCGTCTCCTTTGACTCGTGGGACTGAGGGGAATGGCATGTGTAGGAATCAAGGGAGGCTGGGGGGTTGGTAGGAAAGGGCAGCAGAAAGGTTGTGGTAACCAGACGGAGTTACTTGGAAGAAGAGCAGAGCGTCTCCTTTGACTCGTGGGACTGAGGGGAATGGCATGTGCAGGAATCAAGGGAGGCAGGGGGGGTTGGTAGGAACAGGAGGTTGGTAGGGCAGGAGAAGGGTTGTGGTAACCAGACGGGGTTACTTGGAAGAAGAGCAGAGCGTATCCTTCGACTCGTGGGACTGAGGGGAATGGCATGTGTAGGAATCAAGGGAGGCAGGGGGGTTGGTAGGAAAGGGAAGCAGAAGGGTTGTGGTAACCAGACGGGGTTACTTGGAAGAAGAGCAGAGCGTCTCCTTTGACTCGAGGGACTGAGGGGAATGGCATGTGTAGGAATCAAGGGAGGCAGGGGGGTTGGTAGGAAAGGGCAGCAGAAGGGTTGTGGTAACCAGACGGGGTTATTTGGAAAAAAGCAGAGCGCCGCCTTTGACTGGTGGGACTGAGGAAAGCGATTCAGAGGCAGGGGGAGGGAGAGATGAAAAGGGTGATGGCTAAGGGAGAGAGAAGGTAACCAGACGGGGTTACTTGGAAGAACAGCAGAGCGCCGCCTTTGACTGGTGGGACTGAGTGGAACTTGTGGGGATTAAGGGAGGGAGGGGGGTATGGGAACGGAAGGCAGGAAGGGGAAGGGTCATGGTAACCAGACGGGTTTACTTGAAAGAGGAGCAGCACATCTCCTTTGACTGGTGGGACTGAGAGGAAGGGTTAAGGGAGGAGTGGGAACGGGAGGGAGGAATTATGTATCACACTTGGCAACCAAAGTATGGAGATGAAATACTACACAACGTACATTATCTAAACAATCTAGACCATTTAGAACACATACCTGAGACCCCTTGGCGGGCACATGGAGAGAGGGACGAGTCCCAAGGCCAATGTGAGTGCTCCGACTGGAGGGAGGGACAAGAAGTCAGGTGCAAATGCGAGACAATAGCGAGAGATGTAATGGCAGAGAGTTGTTGAAATACAGCCCATTGATGTATATATATAAAAAAGAAATCTCATGTAACAGCCACCCATTTTAGCCGAGAAATAAAAACATGGATAAACAGAGAAATTATATCCTACATAAGAGCGTACCTTGCCCTGAGGGAAGTTCACTTCGCCGCCCCTTTGTACGTCCGAGAGGAATAGGACAAGCGTTGCCACCCGGTGGCCGGACCTCTGTGTGTCGACATTATCCCGGTAAAACTCCAGATGCACGTCGTATGCCTGACCCTCGTTGAACCGAACCTGCGTCCGAGCCTGCGGGTCTGGTTTGGACAGGGGAAAAAGACAAAAGTTGCTGCCTGAAGGCCAAGAGAGAATGCAACACAACTTTAACTGCACCTAAAAGCTGGGTCCATCCCTGATGGCCTGGATCGGTCCATGCCTGATCGCAACGTTTGGATTGGTTAGGATGGGCAAGGCAAGGATGCAAAGCGAAAGGCATTATTACTAGTAATGCAAATGCAAGAAGGGGCTTTCTAGCAAGCGTCTCTTGGAAGACAGACGAAGGCAGTATACACATGTTTTAGTTTATCCAGGAATGCTTATTGGGCTCGAATATGCAAGTGGAAGAAAAGAGACGCAGGAATTACCTCTGGGAAGGAAAAGAAAGGATGCAATCCGGTCCTCTATGGCCCGAAGGCGTGGGTTCTGAAGGAAAGAAAAGAAAGGATACACACAGACAAGAAAGCTGGTGAACATTTTGAATCCCTATTGCCTTTAGGTGTGTGTTCCGAAGAAAACGAAGGGGGAAGTACAAATTGATTATTGATTTGCTAGCAAATTAATCTGGTCCTTTATGGTCCCAAGTCAGGTGTGTTGTGAAGGTCATGTGATAGAAACACCGATGAGGATCTGAACAAGGACGAGGATACACCTATATCCTGAGCAATATTTAGCCTCTCTTGCCATGCAAGCAGCAGGTGAAATCTGCATATTCAGATCAGACCCATCCACACATGCACACACACGTGCCTGGTACTTGCGCAGATACGTGGCACTGAACAGCCTCTGCCGAGTAACCTTTGGCCTCGCCTGCCAAACAAGCAGCAGGTGAACGCAACAGGGAGCAGGTGAAAGAAACAAGCAGCAGGTGAACGCAACAAGGAGCAGGTGAAATAATCAAGCAGCAGGTGAAAGCAGCAAGCAGCAGGTGAAATCAAGAAGCAGCAGGAAAGCAGCAAGCAGCAGGTGAAAGCAACAAGCAGCAGGCGAAAGCAACACACAGCAGGAAAGCAGCAAACAAAATGGGTGGCAGAGTAAGCTACTACAGCTGGGCGTGGGAGATTGACGCTTCGAGGAAACACAGTGACCTGGTGGTAGTCCCAAATTAAAAAGAATATGGACTGTGGAGAGACTCAAGAGATCAAGAGAAATAAAAAGGCTGGAAGATGAAGACTCACCATGGCCACTAGGAAAGCACAGTCGTCTGGAGACAGGAGCCCTTTATACACATACACCCTGCAGACAGAGAAACACATGGTACAGTGATATTTGCATCTAACAATGTACACATACATCCTGCAGAAAGAAAAAAAATATTCGATCAACGAATCTACCCCATGGAACCAAACTACCAACAAGATAGTACCCTGACTAAAAACCTACGAGGCAAGTTTAAAGCCACTGAACAACCCTTGAACAGTACGAATCAGATTGAGATAAATCTGCACTGTAATTGAGCATACCCTTTTTGTTGGTTTCGACAACGAGGTATAAAACAAGTACAGACAAATACCTGGGTGTAGACGACACCTTTACAACCCGGCTTTCATTAAACACCCACTCCGAACCTCCCGGCTTCCCAAAGCCACTCGAGTCAGCTGCAGGATTTATAGAGCTGCTGCTACCGCCAGACGTCATTAAACTGTTGGCTCTGCCTGAGTTTGGAAAGCGGGTGGCAGCGAGAGGTGTGGTGAGACGATCGCTCCCTGCCATGCCCCGGATACCCCCCACATCCTTGTATGCGTCGCTGCTGCTCTCTCTTGTGTCACCGCTGCTGCTGCTGCTGCTGCTGCCGCCGCCGCTTGTTACGCTGTTCCCTCTGCTGCTTGCAGATGACGCGGCTAGTCTGGCCTCGCGCGCTTGAAGCAGCTCGGGAGTGCCCCAGAACTCGATGCTGATTGGTCATGCCAGGGGAAAAGGTTGAAAAGGGGGACGATGAAGGAAGGGGTTGGGGGTTGGGAAGAAAGGTGAAGGAGCGGAAGAGTGCTTCGAGCAGCTCTGGGGTGCCCCAGAACTCGATGCTGATTGGTCAACGCAGGGAGCGAGTGGGAAAGGAAGGGGGAAATGAGGGAGGGGTGAGGGGTTGGGGAAGGAAAGGAAAGGTGCTCGGGAGTCCCCCACTCGATGCTGAATGGACAATGCCAGATTGAAGGGGGGAAAAGGGGAAAGCGGGGGGAAGGGAGAGGGGGAAAGAGGGGTGGTATGGTGGTGGGGAAGGGAGTGGAAGAGAGAGGGGAAAGGAAGGGGGAAGTGGAGAGGGGAGTGTAAGAGGGGGGAGGGGGGGAGAGGGAGAAAGGAAGGGTACTTGAAACCTTTCGGGTGCCCAAACACTTGGTACTGATGGTCGAAATGTGGCGTGAGGATGTGGATTGGGTTGGAGTTGAAGTAAACTAGGGAGGGGAAGGGATGAGACGATAGACCAAGCTATGATACTTTGAGGGCTAAAGATGAAAGCGTAGATGAGGGGATTGAGAGGCGAAGCAGCGGGGAGGAGAAAAGCGAGAGTAGGGTGAGCAAAGCGACAAGGTGAAGAAGAGGGGATGAGAGGCGACCATAGCTTCCTTTTGTAACCACAAACTTCGCTGAGAATCGCGGTTACAGGTTTCACCCTAACGAAAATTATATAAACGAATCTCATGCCGGAACGAATCTGGACCTAGCAAATCTCACACTGACAATCCCACCCTAGCAAGTCTCACCCTAATGAATCTTGAAGTCCTCTCGAGGGGGAAGCGCAATCCGCGAGAAGGACAAAGACAAGGATTAGGAAGACCCGCATTTTGACGGCAGCGGAAAAAGGAAAAGGTCGAAGTGCGCGTCGAACTTGCTGCGCGCCGAGCTGATAATCGAAAGTTCTAAAACAAATTCAAATACAGTCAAAATGAAATTATTTTTGCGAATCGGGATGCGCGGTAAACCGCGTGTAATGAAGTCGCGTCGCAACGCAACGCAACGGTAACCGCGGTATTCTCGAGGGCAGAGCAGATCAAGGTGATCTAAGAGGGTAACGTCACCCGAATTCTGACAGTTTCAGATTTGAAAGTTGCACACGTTTGAGCGATCTAGAAACAGACGCTTTTGAAGCTAAGAGGTCTGCAAAAAAACCTTGAATATATGTACAAGGAGATAATGTGCAAACATCTGTACTCCTATGTATTCACCAGAATTAGTATCGTGTTGCTTACTAGTGAAAAACAAATAGACGTTTCTTCAAGAATGTTCACCTTGTAACTTGAATGTACACTGCACTATGAATGCAATTGCTCCTGCAATTTATTTAACTAGTCCTCCCATCCAAATACACATCGCAATGCTCCTGCTATGGCACCAGCAGCTTCTGACATGGTCTCGTGTGACAGCACGCCATCACAAGATTCGGCAGCACCGCTGCCAATCCCATCAGCACCACTGCGAATCCCATCAGCACCAGTGCCATTCCCAACAGCACCACTGCCAGTTCCATTACCACTGCTGCCAAACCCATCAGCACCACTGCCAGTTTCAGCAGCAGGTGGGTGCATCATTCGCCATGCCACATGCCCATCAGGCCTCACAAGAACAGCACCCGAATCCCCCACCCCTGCCAGCCACTCCAACCACTCTCCCTTCCCTCCTGCTGTGTTAGCGGCCCTTCCCATGCCCGTTGCTTCACCCCTGCACACTATACCGCAATGTTGGTGCTCGGGTGGGGTGCCGTCTGTTAAGAGTACGACTTCGAGAGGCATGTGACTCAAGCCAGCGGCAGCTGTAGCAGCTGTATCAGAAGCAAATAAAACATGAGCAGGACGAGCAGCATCAGTAGCAGCAGCATCTGCAACACCAGCAGCAACTCCACCAGCAGAAGCAGCATCGGTCGCAGCTACAGAAGCTGGTGTGCTGGCAGCATTTGGAATTGCCCTGAGGGTCCAAGACGAGAGGAGGCAGGGCGAAGGTGAACCCACATTGCTTGCACCACCCGTTACACTGTTACCACTAAACTCGCTTGCACTGGCTCCCTTCCCTGTTACACGGTTACCACCAACCCCTCCCCTGCTAGCAGGTTCTATGCAAAGACCGAGAGGGGCGAGGAGAGAAGGGAGAGGGGAGAAGGAGGAGGGGTGGGGGGCGAGAAGGGCGAGGCGGAGGGGGAGGCGAGTGAGGGAGTGAGCGCGGAGAGAGGAGGCGAGCCAGAGGGGAGTGTGGGGCCCGAGAGGGAGGAGGAGAGTGGGGGTGATGGAGCCGAGAGGGGAGAGGTCGATGGAGGAGAGAGCAGGGCCCTGCCAGGTGGGGAGGGATGGGGTGATGGGGTAGGAGAGTAAATGGAACAGCGACAGTGAGTATAAGAGGGAATTGCGAGGGAGGAGGAAAGTGGGGTTGATGGAGCCCAGGGGAAAGAGATTGCTGGAGGAGGGGGAAGGGCCATGTCTGCAAGGTGGGGGGAGAGATGGGGGGACAGGGTAGGAGGGTGGGGTTGAGAGAGTCGAGAGGGGAGATGCTGATGGAAGAGCGGGAAAGGCCGTGCTAGGTCGGGAGGGATGGGAGGAGGGATAAGAGAGAAAGAGGAACGGTCAAAGTGAGTAACAAAGAAGAGATGGAGTAGGAGAGTGGGAGTGATGGAGCCAGAATGGGAGAGGTCGATGGAGGAAAGGGAAGGGCCTTGCGGTTGGGCGAGAGGGATGAGGGGAGAGAGGGATGAGGGGAGAGAGGGATGAGGGGAGAGAGGGATGAGGGGAGAGAGGGATGAGGGGAGAGAGGGATGAGGGGAGAGAGGGATGAGGGGAGAGAGGGATGAGGGGAGGAGTTTGGAGACTGGTAGGAAGGGTGACGTGGTTGACGGAGGGATTGTGCAAGAGTGGCAGGCGTGAAAGCAGGATACAAGCCATTGGGAAGGAGTACTTACAGGTTGGAACTCAAGCCCTGACTGATGGTCGCTTGCAGAAGCAGCAGAGGGCAGCAGCAGGGTGAGCGTGCGGTGTGGCAGGCGGGCGCCGGGGAGAGTGGAGGGAGTGAAGGAGGTGGAGCTGGCAGCATGTGCCTGGGAATCATATGCTGCTACTTCATGGGCGTCTGAAGAGGCCAATCGCAGTGCTCCCTTCTTGTACCTGAAGGGATGGATGGGAAGGAATGAAAAAGGAATGTCAGGGAGAGTGGAGGGCGAGAAGGAGGTGGAGGTGGCAGCATGTGCTTGGGAGTCATACGGTGCTGCTGCATGGGCGTCTGAGAGGGATAGGGATAAGGCGCCCTTCTTGTACCTGAAGGGATGGATGGGAAGGAATGAAAAGGAGCGCCAGGGAGAGTGGAGGGTGTGAAGGAGGTGGAGGTCGCTCCGTTTGCTTCCCTATAATACTCTGCTGCTTCACGAGTGTCTGGGAGGGATACGGACAACGCACCCTTCTTGTACCTGTGAGGGGCACGGCAATGAACAGAGATTAGAGAGAGTGGGAAGGGATGAAGAGGGATGGGAAGGAGTGCTTGTGATTCATATGCGGCTGCTTCGTGAACATCTGACGGGGAAAGAGACAGAGTGCCCTTTTTGTACCTGAGGGGCGATTGGGTTGGACTTGGGGGTGCAGTGCAGATGAAGGGAGAAGGATGAATAGGGGACGAGCCAAGCAATGGTTTTGTCTCGACTCAAAATTCTCCTGGTTATGATGGCACCTGTGCAAATGGGGTTGGAGAGGGATGGGGCAACAAGCGATTCCATCATCCCCACTCATCCAAACCCATCCCCACACATCCCCACCCATCCCCACACATCCCCGCCCAACCCCACCCATCCCCACTCATTCCCACACATCCTCACCCATCCCCATCCATCCAAACCCATCCCCACACATCCCCACCCATCCCCATACATCCCCACAGATCCCCACACATCCCCACCCATCCCCACCCATCCCCACCCACTTCCACCCATCCCCACCTGAATCCCAGGTCGTGCTGTGGAAACAACAGCTGCAGGCTCTTCCCCTCCTCCAAACTCCTCTGCACCACTGCCAACCGCTCCCTTCCCACGGGATTGGCTGGGCTCAGCAGCCAATCAGAGAGCAGCAGCTGTCGCCCTGCTGACAGCCCAGCCTCTATGAGGGTTGTCTGGAGCTGACGTGGCAGGAACTGATTGGCTGTTGAGGAGGAAAGGGCAGCTGAAAACAAGCTGGGCGGAGGGGAAAGGAAGGGATGGAAGGAAATTTGGGATGGAGGAACAAAGGGGAAGAGACGATTGAGGTGACGAGACGAATGAGGGGAGTAGGGAGAATGAGCGGGAGTGAGGGGGAGTGAGGGAAAGTGAGGGGAGGAGTTGAACGAGGGGAAGGAGAGAAGGAAGATGGGGAAGGTACAAGGAAGGGAAGCTGGCAAACAAGGGTCGCCTCCTCTCCACTATCCCTACACACTCACGCACGTGGTAGCGTCAAGGCTCCAAGCCCAGAGTGGATTCTCAAAGTTATTCACAATCAGGAGTGTGTTTCCCCAAGAGCCACTAGCCTCACTAAGGGGGGTTCTGAGTGCTCAGCATTCACGCACCTGGCAGCGTTGGGTTCCAGACCCAGAGCGCGGGGGACTGCAAGAGCTGACTCAAAGTTGCTGATGCTCAAGTGAGTTTTCCCCACGGTGATGAGGCGATTTTTGAGTCGACTCAAAAATGCTCACGTGAGTGTTCCCCACGGCCACTGGGCACCTCTCTACTCCTCCACCTATCACTGGGTACAGACGCACCTGGCAGCATTGGGCTCAAGACCCAGAGCACGGGGGACTGCAAGAGCCACTGGGGCTCAAAGTTGTTGATGCTCAGAAGTGCATTGGCCACGGCCACTGGGCGCCTCTCTGCCTCTTAGGGGTCAGAACATTGCACACCGCCTAATATCCACCTTCCTCACTGCTTGCTCACGCACCTGGCAGCGTTGGGTTCAAGACCCAGAGCACGGGGGACAGCCAGGGCAGACTCAAAGTTGCTGACGCTCAAGAGAGTGCTTCCCACGGCCACTGGCCGTCTCTCTGCCTCGTAGCAGGCGAGCAGGGCGGGGGAAGGGGGGAGGCGGTGCGTTGGAGCAGAGCAGAGCTCTTGACCCTACACTGGCTCCACTGGGGAGAGGAATCGGTCAGCACTCACGCACCTGGCAGCGTAGGGCTCAAGACCCAGAGCGCGGGGGACAGCCAGAGCGGATTCAAAGTTGGCGACTCTGAGATGAGTGTTCCCCACGGCCACTGGCCATCTCTCTGCCTCATATGAGGCGAGCAGGCCGGGGGAGGCAGTGCGTTGGAGAAGAGAAGCGCCCTTAACGTCACAAAGGAGAGGACTCAGCATTCACGCACCTGGCGGCATTGGGCTCCAGACCCAGGGCTCTGGGAACAGCCAGAGCGGATTCAAAGTTGCTGACGCTCAGGTGAGTGTTTCCCACGGCCACTGGGCACCTCTCTGTTTCGTAGAAGGCGAGCAGGGCAGGGCTTGGAGCAGAATCAACTCTTATCCAATGCACGCTCCCCTATTATGCATGCACGCTCCCCTATTATGCATGCACCTCCCTGCCTCACTAAGGAAAGCACTCAGTGCGCACGCACCTGGCAGCGTTGGGTTCCAGACCCAACGCCCGGGGAACAGCCAGAGCTGATTCGAAATTGCTGACGCTCAGGTGAGTGTTCCCAACAGCCACTGGGCGCCTCTCTGCCTCGTAGGAGGAGAGCAGTTTGGGGGAGGCGGCGCCTTGGAGCAAAGCCGCAAGCTTCCACGCGAGGTTGTGGGCGTCTTGAACGCCCGTGTTCATGCCTGGTGGGGGGGGGGAGTGGGTGATGGTGGGTGATGGTGGGATGAGAGCTGGTGATCAGAGTAGGCCATACTGCGAGCTTCCATGCGAGGTTGTGTGTGTCTTGAACGCCCGTGTTCATGCCTGGTGGTAGGGGGAGGTGGATGGTTGGAAGGGAGGAGTGATGGAAATTCACGACCTCGCACGAGTGGGGCCGCAACCAAGGGGGAAGGGTGGTGGTGTCCCCTTGGAGCAGAGCGGCAAGCTTCCATGCGAGGTTGTGGGTGTCTTGTATGCCCGTGTTCATGCCTGGTGGGGTGGGAGGAAAGGGAGAAGAGGACGGAGAGGAGTGTTAGGAGCATGCAGAGTCAACCAAATGGGTAATGGTAATTGGGATGGACAGTACCGCGAGCTTCCATGCAAGGTTGTGGGTGTCTTGTATGCCCGTGTTCATGCCTGGTGGGGTTGTTTGAGAGGGTGGGGGAGGGAAGGAAGGGAGAGGAGAGGGGGGAAAGCCTGTGTTGCACTGATACCATGGGAGCTTAAAAGCAATTAACGCACCCAACGCCACCATGCGCTTTCAGAGTTTTCCTGAGATCGTGGGAGTTCTCAAGTCAGTGCACGCACCGAAGCCGCGAGCAGGGGGAAACGGTGAGCTGCATCCAGAACTAGAATGACACTAGGCTCGAACCCTAGTGTCATTCGAACAGTTCTCCTTGCTACCGAGGCCACCAGCAGGGGCCACCAGCAGGGGCCACCAGCAGGGGCCACCAGCAGGGGCCACCAGCAGGGGCCACCAGCAGGGGCCACCAGCAGGGGCCACCAGCAGGGGCCACCAGCAGGGGCCACCAGCAGGGGCCCACCAGCAGGGGCCACCAGCAGGGGCCACCAGCAGGGGCCACCAGCAGGGGCCACCAGCAGGGGCCACCAGCAGGGGCCACCAGCAGGGGCCACCAGCAGGGGCCACCAGCAGGGGCCACCAGCAGGGGCCACCAGCAGGGGCCACCAGCAGGGGCCACCAGCAGGGGCCACCAGCAGGGGCCACCAGCAGGGGCCACCAGCAGGGGCCACCAGCAGGGGCCACCAGCAGGGGCCACCAGCAGGGGCCACCAGCAGGGGCCACCAGCAGGGGCCACCAGCAGGGGCCACCAGCAGGGGCCACCAGCAGGGGCCACCAGCAGGGGCCACCAGCAGGGGCCACCAGCAGGGGCCACCAGCAGGGGGCCACCAGCAGGGGCCACCAGCAGGGGCCACCAGCAGGGGCCACCAGCAGGGGCCACCAGCAGGGGCCACCAGCAGGGGCCACCAGCAGGGGCCACCAGCAGGGGCCACCAGCAGGGGCCACCAGCAGGGGCCACCAGCAGGGGCCACCAGCAGGGGCCACCAGCAGGGGCCACCAGCAGGGGCCACCAGCAGGGGCCACCAGCAGGGGCCACCAGCAGGGGCCACCAGCAGGGGCCACCAGCAGGGGCCACCAGCAGGGGCCACCAGCAGGGGCCACCAGCAGGGGCCACCAGCAGGGGCCACCAGCAGGGGCCACCAGCAGGGGCCACCAGCAGGGGCCACCAGCAGGGGCCACCAGCAGGGGCCACCAGCAGGGGCCACCAGCAGGGGCCACCAGCAGGGGCCACCAGCAGGGGCCACCAGCAGGGGCCACCAGCAGGGGCCACCAGCAGGGGCCACCAGCAGGGGCCACCAGCAGGGGCCACCAGCAGGGGCCACCAGCAGGGGCCACCAGCAGGGGCCACCAGCAGGGGCCACCAGCAGGGGCCACCAGCAGGGGCCACCAGCAGGGGCCACCAGCAGGGGCCACCAGCAGGGGCCACCAGCAGGGGCCACCAGCAGGGGCCACCAGCAGGGGCCACCAGCAGGGCCACCAGCAGGGGCCACCAGCAGGGGCCACCAGCAGGGGCCACCAGCAGGGGCCACCAGCAGGGGCCACCAGCAGGGGCCACCAGCAGGGGCCACCAGCAGGGGCCACCAGCAGGGGCCACCAGCAGGGGCCACCAGCAGGGGCCACCAGCAGGGTCCACCAGCAGGGGCCACCAGCAGGGGCCACCAGCAGGGCCACCAGCAGGGGCCACCAGCAGGGGCCACCAGCAGGGGCCCACCCAGCAGTCGGGCCACCAGCAGGGGCCACCAGCAGGGGCCACCAGCAGGGGCCACCAGCAGGGGCCACCAGCAGGGGCCACCAGCAGGGGCCACCAGCAGGGGCCACCAGCAGGGCCACCAGCAGGGGCCACCAGCAGGGGCCACCAGCAGGGGCCACCAGCAGGGGCCACCAGCAGGGGCCACCAGCAGGGGCCACCAGCAGGGGCCACCAGCAGGGGCCACCAGCAGGGGGCCACCAGCAGGGGCCACCAGCAGGGGCCACCAGCAGGGGCCACCGCAGGGGCCACCAGCAGGGGCCACCAGCAGGGGCCACCAGCAGGGGGCCACCAGCAGGGGCCACCAGCAGGGGCCACCAGCAGGGCCACCAGCAGGGGGCCACCAGCAGGGGCCACCAGCAGGGGCCACCAGCAGGGGCCACCAGCAGGGGCCACCAGCAGGGGCCACCAGCAGGGGCCACCAGCAGGGGCCACCAGCAGGGGCCACCAGCAGGGGCCACCAGCAGGGGCCACCAGCAGGGGCCACCAGCAGGGGCCACCAGCAGGGGCCACCAGCAGGGGCCACCAGCAGGGCCACCAGCAGGGGCCACCAGCAGGGGCCACCAGCAGGGGCCACCAGCAGGGGCCACCAGCAGGGGCCACCAGCAGGGGGCCACCAGCAGGGGCCACCAGCAGGGGCCACCAGCAGGGGCCACCAGCAGGGGCCACCAGCAGGGGCCACCAGCAGCAGGGGCCACCAGCAGGGGCCACCAGCAGGGGCCACCAGCAGGGGCCACCAGCAGGGGCCACCAGCAGGGGCCACCAGCAGGGGCCACCAGCAGGGGCCACCAGCAGGGGCCACCAGCAGGGGCCACCAGCAGGGGCCACCAGCAGGGCCACCAGCAGGGGCCACCAGCAGGGGCCACCAGCAGGGGCCACCAGCAGGGGCCACCAGCAGGGGCCACCAGCAGGGGCCACCAGCAGGGGCCACCAGCAGGGGCCACCAGCAGGGGCCACCAGCAGGGGCCACCAGCAGGGGCCACCAGCAGGGGCCACCAGCAGGGGCCACCAGCAGGGCCACCAGCAGGGGCCACCAGCAGGGGCCACCAGCAGGGGCCAACCAGCAGGGGCCACCAGCAGGGGCCACCAGCAGGGGCACCAGCAGGGGCCACCAGCAGGGCCACCAGCAGGGGCCACCAGCAGGGGCCACCAGCAGGGGCCACCAGCAGGGGCCACCAGCAGGGGCCACCAGCAGGGGCCACCAGCAGGGGCCACCAGCAGGGGCCACCAGCAGGGGCCACCAGCAGGGGCCACCAGCAGGGGCCACCAGCAGGGGCCACCAGCAGGGGCCACCAGCAGGGGCCACCAGCAGGGGGCCACCAGCAGGGGGCCACCAGCAGGGGCCACCAGCAGGGGCCACCAGCAGGGGCCACCAGCAGGGGCCACCAGCAGGGGCCACCAGCAGGGGCCACCAGCAGGGGCCACCAGCAGGGGCCACCAGCAGGGGCCACCAGCAGGGGCCACCAGCAGGGGCCACCAGCAGGGGCCACCAGCAGGGGCCACCAGCAGGGGCCACCAGCAGGGGCCACCAGCAGGGGCCACCAGCAGGGGCCACCAGCAGGGGCCACCAGCAGGGGCCACCAGCAGGGGCCACCAGCAGGGGCCACCAGCAGGGGCCACCAGCAGGGGCCACCAGCAGGGGCCACCAGCAGGGGCCACCAGCAGGGGCCACCAGCAGGGGCCACCAGCAGGGGCCACCAGCAGGGGCCACCAGCAGGGGCCACCAGCAGGGGCCACCAGCAGGGGCCACCAGCAGGGGCCACCAGCAGGGGCCACCAGCAGGGGCCACCAGCAGGGGCCACCAGCAGGGGCCACCAGCAGGGGCCACCAGCAGGGGCCACCAGCAGGGGCCACCAGCAGGGGCCACCAGCAGGGGCCACCAGCAGGGGCCACCAGCAGGGGCCACCAGCAGGGGCCACCAGCAGGGGCCACCAGCAGGGGCCACCAGCAGGGGCCACCAGCAGGGGCCACCAGCAGGGGCCACCAGCAGGGGCCACCAGCAGGGGCCACCAGCAGGGGCCACCAGCAGGGGCCACCAGCAGGGGCCACCAGCAGGGGCCACCAGCAGGGGCCACCAGCAGGGGCCACCAGCAGGGGCCACCAGCAGGGGCCACCAGCAGGGGCCACCAGCAGGGGCCACCAGCAGGGGCCACCAGCAGGGGCCACCAGCAGGGGCCACCAGCAGGGGCCACCAGCAGGGGCCACCAGCAGGGGCCACCAGCAGGGGCCACCAGCAGGGCCACCAGCAGGGGCCACCAGCAGGGGCCACCAGCAGGGGCCACCAGCAGGGGCCACCAGCAGGGGCCACCAGCAGGGGCCACCAGCAGGGGCCACCAGCAGGGGCCACCAGCAGGGGCCACCAGCAGGGGCCACCAGCAGGGGCCACCAGCAGGGGCCACCAGCAGGGGCCACCAGCA